CCCACCCTCCGCCCTCACTCCCCACCCACTGTCCTCATCCATAGGTGCACGATTTTTGTCCAGTCTCCTCCCGCATCTCCCATTCCCCTTTCCCCCCCAAGACTAGTCAGTCCATTCCCTTTCTATGTCCCTGATTCATTATAATCACCAGTTCATTCTGTACATCAGATTATTTATTCACTTGATTCTTAGATTCACTTGTTGATAGATGCATGTTTGTTGTTCATAATTTGTATCTTTACCTTTTTCTTCTTCCTCTTCTTAAAGGATACCTTTCAGCATTTCGTATAATACTGGTTTAGTGGTGATGAACTCCTTTAGCTTTTTCTTATCTGTGAAGCTCTTTATCTGACCTTCAATTCTGAATGATAGCTTTGCTGGATAAAGTACTCTTGGTTGTAGGTTCTTGGTATTCATCACTTTGAATATTTCTTGCCATTCCCTTCTGGCCTGCAAAGTTTCTGTTGAGAAATCAGCTGACAGTCGTATGGGTATTCCTTGTAGGTAATTGAGTCTCTTTCTCTTGCTGCTTTTAAGATTCTCTCTTTGTCTTTTGCTCTTGGCATTTTAATTATGATGTGTCTTGGTGTGGTCCTCTTTGGATTCCTTTTTGTTTGGGGTTCTCTGCGCTTCTTGGACCTGTAAGTCCATTTCTTTCACCAGGTGGGGGAAGTTTTCTGCCATTATTTCTTCAAATAGGTTTTCTTTTTTTTTTTTTTTTTTTTTTTTTTTTTTTAAATATATTTTATTGATTTTTTACAGAGAGGAAGGGAGAGAGAGATAGAGAGTTAGAAACATCGATGAGAGAGAAACATCGATCAGCTGCCTCCTGCACATCTCCCACTGGGGATGTGCCCGCAACCCAGGTACATGCCCTTGACCGGAATCGAACCTGGGACCTTTCAGTCCGCAAGCCGACGCTCTATCCACTGAGCCAAACCGGTCTCGGCTTCAAATAGGTTTTCAATATCTTGCTGTCTCTCATCTTCTGGCACCCCTATTATTCTGATATTAGTGCGCTTGAAGGTGTCCCAGAGGCTCCTTACACTATCTTCGTATTTTCGGATTCTTTTTTCATTTTGCTTTTCCGGTTGGGTGTTTTTTGCTTCTTCGCATTTCTAATCTTTGACTTGATTCTTGCGCTCCTCTGGTCTGCTATTGGGTATAATATTCTTTATTTCAGTCCGTGTATGCTTAACACTTGGAGTGCGGGTGAATTTCCCGCCAAAATATAAGATGGCTCTGTCTTTTGGTTTTGTTCCATCCACCAAAAGGGTGGATTACAAACAAATATTTGGTAATACGCAGTTACAATCGGCCCGAGTTTACACGTTTCCCGCACTCCACCGCAAATCTATATGAACCGAGTTAAAGACGGCTCCCGCGGAGTACGCGCAATTCACGCGAGCCGACTTAACTCGTTTCCCGCACTCCAAGTGTTAATTTCTAGTTTCTTTATCGTAGCATCGAGGGTCTCATTAGTTTTCGTGAGGCTCTCCTCAAGTTTATTGCAAGCCCTCAAAATTGCGTTTTTTAGCTCCATATCCTCCATTTCTGTCATGTTTTTTTGTCTCCGCATTTTTTATGCTTTCTTGGTGCACCCCCTTGTGGTGTTTGTGCACAGTCTTGTTCTAGTTAAGCCTTGATTGTTGTCGGCAATACTAGAGGGATTTGCCCACCAGGCCGACTGGCTGTGAGAATCAGCTGTGTCTGCAGTGGGAAAACTTCTGTCCTCTGGGGAGGTGCTTATCTAGCTTTTGCCTGAGGCGATCTGGCAAATGGCTCTGCACAGGGCTTGGGCGGGGCGGGTCGCACGGGATCAGCAGGGCGGGCGGAGGGAGCAGTTATGGCTGCTCTCAGTCCCGTTCCCAGAGGCTCTGCTTCTCAGAACCCCGGCATCCGCTGCAAACTTCGGAGAGAAAGCTGCCCTTAGGTTCCAACTGATGCCGGACAATCCCGCTTCTCCCATCTGAGTCTGAGTCCCTAGAGACTCGCCCGGATCTGGAGCCCAAAGTCTGAGACTCACTCCCGACTGAAAACGACAACTGCACCCTCAGCCACCAGCCCCTTTGCGCGCGCACCTCTGCACCTTTATATTTTCCACTCTGAGCCTCGGGACGCTGCTGTCTTTCCTTCTAGTTGAAGAGTCTCTCCTCAGCCAGCTTTCCTGTGGTTCTGGGTGATGTCCGTTCCGTCTTTTAGTTGTATTTTTGAAGTGGTTGTTTGCGGCAGCAGTCTCCAGTGTTTACCTATGCCGCCATCTTGGTCGACTCTCCAGTCGCGTGCCTTTGCTTAGCCCTTGTTAGAGGCTGCTGAGCGGTCACTGCCTCTGAGGAGCTTTCAGCATTCCCCGTTTTGCAGCCCAGAGCACACCGCTGCTTAGAGTTGCTCTGGGTAAAATTGCCTTCGTGGAACTTTCCCAAGGGCAGAAGCTGTCTCTTTAGCCTCACTGTGACATGTGACACGTGGTAGGTGCTTGGCATATGTTGGGAATGAGGCTGTTGCCTTTCATCCAGCAGGCATTCAGTGAACGTGGTTATAGTAGGGAGGGCTGCTTCTTGATTGGATGAAGACTTAGGTGCATAAGATCTGTAGTGTTCCCTGAACTTCATGTACAGTAGCCCCCCTTATCTGCAGGGCATAGGCCCAGTGGATGACTAAGACCGTGGATAATGCCAAACTCTATACAGTGGGGCCTTGACTTACGAGTTTAATTTGTTCCGTGATGGAGCTCGTAACTCAAATTACTCGTATGTCAAATCAAAAGTGAACGAGTGAGACACGTGATGCTGGGCTGATGTGGCGTTCACTGTGACGTTCGCTGCGCCAACTAGCGGTGGGGTATCTGAAGCTGGCTCGTAACCCGAATTTTAGCTCGCAACTCAAAGCAAAAAATCGGCCGAGAGATGGCTTGTATCTCGAAAAACTCGTTAGGACACTCGTAAGTCAAGGCCCCACTGTACATGTTAAGTAAAGTAAGGATGACTTTAAACACAGCACTGCAATATCATGACACTCGACCCCATGAATGGCTATTAAATGACTAGTGGGCAGGTAGCGTATACAGTGAGGAGAGGCTGGACAAGGGATGATTCGTATCCCTGGCAGGATGGTGTGAGCTTTAAAACTTCAAAAACTGCAGCTGGCCCCCGGACTGTGAACCAGGGGGTTGCGGTTTGATTTCCCAGCAGAGCACATGCCCAGGTTGCGGGCTTGATCCCCAGTAGGGGATGTGCAGGAGGCAG